AATATATGTTGTTAGATTTAACTTGCTGATACTTTGTTGAATATTTTTACATCTGTGTTCATGAGGTATATGGATCTGTAGTTTTCCTTTCTTTTAATGTTCCAGAACTTTTTCACCTTCCCAAAATGAAACTCCCATTTTCCCCCTCCCCCTCAGCTCCTGTGGACCCTTCCATGGACCATTTTCTTCTGTTTCCATGAGTTTAACTATTCTAGGTACTTCACGTGAGTAGAATCATAAGGCATTTGTTATTTTGTGGCTAGCTTATTTCACTTAGCATAATGTCTTCAAAGTCAAGGACATCTTTTATCTGAGTTTTTAAAATTCATTAGTGTGTACCTAAGTTGATGGAGTTGTACTTTGTCTGAGCTGTGTCTTGGGTCAGTCATAATGTTATCTGTTTATGTAGGCCTAAAGGGAGGAATTGGACATGGGGGTAGGTAAGATGTGAGATAATTTTAAACTGTTTTAAGACCCTAATATTTCTTAATTTGTTTTAGAACTTACAGAGTATTCTTACATATTTAAGCAAAAACACTAAATGATGCTTGGTGGTCAGAATGTATATATTATTCCATCCACTCATTTGGGTGTTATTAATAACCTGCCTCTGAAATGAGGTAGATTTATAAGATTAAGATTTTCTTTCTTTTTTTTTTTTTCAATTTAAATCCAAGTTAGTTAACATGTAGTGTAGTAATGGTTTCTGGAGTAGAATTTAGTGATTCATCACTTACCTATAACACTCAATGCTTATCGAAACAAGTGCTCTCCTTAATGCCCACCCCCCCATTTAGCCCATCCCCCCACCCAACACCCCTCCAGCAATCCTAGTTTTTTCCCTATATTTAAAATCTCATGTAGTTTGCCTCCCTCTCTCTTTTTATCTTATTTTTATTTCCCTTCCCCTATATTCATGTTTTGTTTCTTAAATTCCACATATGAGTGAAATCATGTATCTGTCTTTCTCTTACTATTTTATTAGCCTAATACACTCTAGTTCCATCCATGTTGTTGCAAATGGCCAGATTTCATTCTTTTTGACTGCCAAGTAATATTTGCCATTGAATATTATACCACATCTTCTTTATCCATTCATCAGTCGACGGACTTATGGGGCTCTTTCCATAATTTAGCTATTGTCCATAGCACTGCTGTAAAGGGGGTGCACATGCCCCTTCAGTCAGCTTTTTTTTTTTTTTTTAATACTTTGGATAAATACCAAGTAGTGCAGTTGCTGGGTTGAATGGTAGTTCTATTTTTAATTTTTTGAGGAACCTCCATATGTTTTTCAGAGTGGCTGCACCAGTTTCCATTCCCACCAACATTGCAAAAATGTTTCCCCTTTCTCTGCATCCTTGCCAACATCTGTTGTTTCCCGAGTTGTTCATTTTAGCCGTTCTGCCAGGTGTGAGGTGATATCTCATTGTGGTTTTGATTTGTATTTCTCTGATGATAAGTGATTTGAGCATGTAAGATTAAAATTTTCATCTATGGTGCTTTTATGGGGAATTTCAACCAGGAAGAATTTTTTCTTTGATAATAGTGTTACTTGGATCCTTAATTTCATCCCTTTGGTCTCTTTTCCGCCCAGCTGTGATAAGTTATCATGGCCTTTATTCTTCTAACCTGCCCACTATAGGAGTGTGTAGGCCTGCAGACTGGAAACTGTATTCTGACACATCCAGTCCTGGCTGCATCACCAACTCTGTGTTTTAAAGTTTACCCAGCTGTTGTTTCACTTTGTTACTAAGGAATGTTATCTTTCCTGTGGTGAAGTAGGAATTTGTTTCTTATTATTTAGAGTAGGGGTTCTTATTGTTGGTAATTATATTACATTGGTAAGTCTTTCTGGCTAGGGCTTATGTTTATTCATGATATTTAAAGTTCGGGTGGTTTCAGATTACCTTTTACCATTAAAGTTTATTCTAAAAGATCTTTCCTTTTAATTTTACTGGAGAACTGATTATTTTTGGAATTTCAAGTTTTAAGGCCTTTTTTTTTTTTTTTTGGTCTCCACAGTAAGTAAGTAAATAGTACCAGATTACTGTTTTTCAACTTCTTAGATTTGTTTTTAGTAACTTTTGACAAATAGTATAAGTGAGGCTGCTTCTAGAGTTAATTAGAATGCTCCTAGAGAGCGGGAATGTTGGTTGTGCACTGCTGTATCCCTAGAGCCTAGAACAGTAGGTGGCACATGGTAGGGGTTCAGTGAATACTTGTTGAATGAATGTATGAACGCATTTTATGGAAGGTATCAGTATTCAGTTGATACAGAGGTAGCAGACTTCTTCAGATTTTAAAATAGCAAAACTTATTAGTTGGGATTAGCTAGGTACTCTGATTTACCTATTCTTTCATCTTTTTATTGATTGATCAGTATAGTGACAGGGCAAACTAAGAAAAGATGATTGTCAATATATTAAAAAAATTGTTTTAAATAATATTTATTTATCTTCAAGAGATAGAGAGACAGAGTGTGTGTTGGGGAGGAAGCAGAGACAGAGGGAGATGCAGAATCTGAAGCAGGCCCCAGGCTCCAAGCTGTCAGCCCAGAGCCCGACGCAGGGCTCGAACTCACGGACTGTGAGATCATGACTTGAGCTGAAGTAGCACCTTAACTAATTGAGCCACCCAGGTGCCCCAATAGATTTTTTTTTTTTTTTATGAGACACTAAATTTTTTTTGAGACACCAGTTCTTTTTTGTTTGTTTGTTTGTTTTAAGTTTATTTTTGAGAGAGTGAGCAAACACACATAAGTAGTAAGGGGCAGAGAGAGAGAGAGAGAGAAGAATTCCAAGCAGGCTCTGTGCTGACAGCTAGCTCAGAGCCTGGAGCCTGTTTCGGATTCTGTGTCTCTCTCTCTCTGACCCTCCCCTGCTCATGCATGCGCTCTCTGTCTCTCTCTGTCTCTCTCTCTCTCAGAAATAATTAAAAAAAAATTTTTTTTAAAGAAAAGATAGAGCTATACTAAACAACTTAAATATTTGGGAATAGTGACCTTTTTGATATGGTAGCAACAACAATTGTGTGCATGTGTGTTAGGGGACTATCAGGGGTATTAGGAGCAGAGATAGGAAAAGTAAAGGTGGGTTATATTCAGCAGATCTCCAGATGGTTCTGTAGGTAAGTGGGGAACTGCAGATCACTTTTTAGGACAGTAGTGTGATTCCATTTCTGGTTGGGAAAATTAAATGACTGTGGGAGGGTGGGTTGGAGAGTACAGCATGGAGGTGTCAGAAAACCCATTTGGAGCATCCAAAATGTAGTCCAGGGACAAGGCCTCCACTGGGCTTCTTTATGGGGTACCATTAATCTTCTAATCCCTATGAAGGGTCCCTCCTGAAGCACAGGTCCTTAGTATATAGTGTGCATGGAGTTGTGCTCTGATGCAGCCTTGTCACCAATAGAGAGATGTGGGCTTCAAACTGAAGATACTGAAAGGTGAAGAAGAGTCCAAGAGAATTTTTAATTGATAAGATTGGTGACTTAGTGGGGATGGGAGTTTTGTGGAATAATTATAGGTGGTTTGAAGGTTAAGGCTGATCTTCACATTAGGTGATGGCCTGGACAATGCTTTTTTTTTTTCTCAACCGTATCTGTTTTTCATAAATTGCTTCATCCCTCGTTGAGCATACCTTAAACATCTTTGCTCCTAATTTGAGTTGTTTTGTTATTTGTTTTGGACCATGTATCCAAGCTTATCAGAAGTATTTCTGAAACAAAGGAATTTTTGCTATGGTGTACTTTGAGCAGAGGACGTGTGAGCTTTAAGTATGCTAAAGGATAGGGGTCTTGACATCTGTCAAAGTTGCTCATATATCATGTCCCAGATTTACTTTTCCAGATAGGTTATCTTATGAGTATTTTAATTTTTATATTATTTCAGAATTTTTAATTGTAACTGTTTAGCCCTGTGATTTTATTCAATTTAGTTTAATTTATGTTATTTTATTTTCAATGTTTATTTTGAGAAAGAGCAAGTGTGAGCGGGTGGGGTGCAGTGGGGAGAGAGAGAGAATCCCAAGCAAACTTGGACCCACAAACTGTGAGGTCATGCATGACCTGAGCCAAAATCAAGAGCTGACGCTTCACCAGCTGAGCCACCCAGGTACCCCTCACCCTGTGATTTTAGTTAGAACATTTTATTACGGGAAATTTTTAAACATATTCAAAGATAGAGTAGTATGATGAATTCCACTGATGTGTCAATGTTTTGCTGGTCCTGTTTGATCTGTATTCCTCTCTGCGCTTTTAGTTTTTTGCTGAAATATTTTAAAGCAAATACGAGGCATATTTTTTCATCATAAATACCTGAGTTTTTAGAAGAGAAGAACTACATTATTGTTAGTATGACCCACAATACTATTATCACACCAAACAATCATTTTTACTCTGATTTAGCACCACCTAGCAAAATAGCATGAGTTCATATTTCCCTTTTGGTTTTGAAAAAGACTTTTATTTTTTTTTCTTACAATTGAATTGTTTGAATCAGGTCCAAGCAAGTCTGGTGGTTATTTTTAAAGTAGATATTTTTTAAAGAGAAAATTAAGGCAGTGTGAAAAGCATTTTTAGTATAAGCTATTCTAAGAGAGCAGTGCTTTTTTGACAGCCATTCTCTCTGGAATTTAGTTGTGCTTATCACTACAAGAAGATGTTACAATAGCTGGTATCTAATTTTTATGATTTTTAAACATAGGAAGTTTTCAAAATGGGAAAAAGTGTGTGTGGCCTCACTTATGTAGAAACCTCAATAGCGATAAGGAGAGATTTGAGGAGGTTCAGGTTTGTAGGCGACCACATCTCTCTAAGACAAAGCTCCTCAGGTGGGTTTTGGGATTGCTCTCCTAACCAGTGTAATGTTGCGTGTCTTTCATTTTGCTGCCTTTACCTGCCTTGCCTCATCTGTAAAATAAACAAGGGGGGGATTTCTTGGACTCCTCCCCAGTTCTTTATTTTTTTGTGTTTTATTTTACATTTATGCTTGACTTTCACAGGATTCTCAAAGTTGGATTGGTGGAAACAACGAACCGTTGACTGGCTTTACATGGCGAGGTGGTTGCGAAAGGGAAACAACAGGCATACAAGTCTGGAATGAAGTGTTTGTGATTGACAGGCCTAATGGAACAAAAGTAAAGTTCTGTTTATGTATTTTTACTGGTTTTTTTTCTTCCATATTCTTTGTTGAACTGTTTTCTCATACTAAAGATCAAAGCAGCACAGAACTATTAATGTCCACTAACTTTTTTTTTTAATTTTTTTTTTTAAATGTTTTATTTATTTCTAGGAGAGAGAGAGAGAGAGAGAGACAGCGTGAGCAGGGGAGGGTCAGAGAGAGAGGGAGTCACAGACTGAAACAGGCTCCAGGCTCCGAGCTGGCAGTCAGCACAGAGCCCGACGCGGGGCTCGAACCCACGAACCGCAAGATCATGACCTAAGCGAAAGTCGGACGCTTAACCGACTAAGCCACCCAGGCGCCCCTAATGTCCGCTAACTTTAACATATATGGATTATTATGTCAAAATGTATGAGATGTGTAGCTTAGAGTACTTTTCTTGACTTGCTGCTTTTGACATTTGTTATTTCATTTTATTTTTTTATATTTTTATATTTCTCTTTTTGGTTTTTGGTTTCATTTCAAGTTTTTATTTAAATTCTGGTTAGTTAACATACAGTATAATATTGGTTTCAGGAGTAGAATTCTGTGATTCCTCACCTACATACAATACCCAGTGCTCAAGTGCACAAGTGCCCTCCTTTTTTTTTTCTTAAAATTTTTTAAGTTTACTTATTTGTTTTGAGAGAGAGAGAGTGTGTGATTAGGGGAGGATCAGAGAGGGAGAGAGAGAATCCCAAGCAGGCTCTGTACTTGTCAGAATGGAGCCTGATGTGGGGCTCAAACTCATGAACTATAAGATTGTGACCTGAGCTGAAGCCAAGAGTTGGATGCTTAACCAACTGAGCCACCCAGGTGCCCCAGCCTCCTTTTTAAATTTTATTTTTAATTTGTTTTTATTTTTGTGAGAGAGCATAAGCGTGGGAGGGGAGGGGAGGGACAGAAGATCCAAAGTGGGTTCTGTGCTGACAGTACTGAGCCCAGTATAGGACTCAGACTCATGAACCAACTCATGACATGAGCCAAACGCAGATGCTCAACCGACTGAGCCACCCAGACACCCCAATATGTACCCTCAATACCCATCACCCATTAACCTATCCTCCTGTCCACCTCCCCTCCATCAACCCTCAGTTTGTTCTCTCTTGTTAAGAGTATCTTACAGTTTGCTTCCCTCTATTTTTTCCCCCTTCTTCTATTTTCATTTTTTCTGTTTCTTAAATTCCACATATGAGGGAAATCATAAGGTATTTGTCTTTCTCTGACTTTTTTGCTTAGCATAATACACTCTAGCTCTATCCATGTCATTGCAAATAGCAAGATTTCATTCTTTTTGATGGCTGAGTAAATACTCCATTGTACATATATACCATATCTTTTCTCTATCTGTTCATCAGTTGGTGGATATTGTTGATAATACTGCTATGAATGACATTTATCATTTTAAATTTGGTTTTAGTAGTCATTACTGATGAATGTTTTACTTACTATTTTAAACTTTTAAATTCCTAGGTGGCTGTGCTGCTAATGGATACCCAGGGTGCCTTTGATAGCCAGTCAACTATCAAAGACTGCGCAACAGTGTTCGCTCTAAGCACCATGACTAGCTCGGTCCAGGTGAGACGTGACGTGCTGTGCCGTGATTGGGTCGGATAGTCCTAATACCTTTACTCTTTCTCAAAATGCCGTTTCATTGAGGAAAAAAGGATTTAAATTTTTTTTTCAATGTTTATTTTTGAGGGAAAAACAGAGTGTGAGCGGGAGAGGGGCAGGGAGAGAGGGAAACACAGAATTCGAAACAGGCTTCAGGCTCTGAGCTGTCAGCACAGAGCCCAATGCAGGGCTTGAACTCAGAAACTGTGAGGTTGTGACCTGAGCCAAAGTCGGCTGCTTAATCAGGTGCCCCGAAGAAAAAAGGATTAAAATTAGTTATTTACATTTCTTATTGGTCATTTCCATTTTCAAGCTTATTGTTTGGGCTCACAATGTGAAATTTCATACTTTGGTTATCTAGGAAGTAAGTAATAAACCAAGATCCAGTACCTATGGTTTTTCATTATAGCATCTGTGCCTTTTTATTTTTTTAAAGGAAAAGAATATTGCATGTTATTTTTAATTGAATTCATGCATGTGGTTCCCAGATATAGTAAGTTGTAGAATATGTCTTTTATGTTTTGGCTAAACCAATTAAGAAAAAACCCAAGTAATTAAACTTTGTTTTCTACTTGACATGTATGATAACTAGTACTTGATTATTTGAACTAATTGTGATAGAGACATGAGAATTAATTGATATTTAACTTAGGAAATGTATGTGATGTTTCTATAATACACTAAGGACTTCTAGGACCCATTTAATTTAGAAAGGGGTAACAAGATCCCTTCTGGTTTTCACTTACTCTGTACTCTAATTGTGTTTGGTATTATATAAGTTCTTGTCTCTTCAAGCTAGGCCATCTCTTTTCTGTATAATTTAGACTGATGGGCTGAATTAAACCACCGCATGTCATTTTGTATCTCTTTATTTTCTCTTTCTGAAATTATCTGTGGTTGATGCTTCTCTGGCTGAACAATGAATTATTGAGTGTGGTGGTTAGCCCTAGCTGGTGATGATGGGTCCAGAAGTGTATATACAAGCATTGGAAGTATGTGCTCTTCTTGAGATGATACAGGTTTCTTACTGATGGCAGATCATAAGTGATTCTTTCACAGTGTCTTGGAGTGTTTCTAATGCTGCCTGGTTTTCGTTTTGGTAATATCCAGAATACATGTCCAGCCTCTAGAAGTTTTCATTTCCTTCCTTCCTCAGTTTGAAGTATCTAGCTGTGAGAATGGAAGGGAATTTTGGATATTATTATGAGATAAAAAAAAGGAGTACTTTTCAGCTTGGCTTCTGTTTATTATATGGTTGGAGGGCTCTCTTATTACTCTCCAATTAAATACTTTGGGGAACCCTTAGGGTATCATTTCTCCATTTTGTTCAACCCCCCCCCCCTTTTTTTTTTTTGTTTGTTTTTGTTTCAGTCCTTCAAGGCGACACAACTGCCATTTCCTTGAGGCAGGCAGAAACAATCTTTGTGCCCCTCTAATTAAAGCTGGCTCTGTGGCTTACCTTAAAATATAATGAGGGAATTCTCTGTCCTGAAACTTGTGCCTTGGTGTCTCTTGTTTATTTACTCACCCTTCTGATGGGAGGAGGCCTGGTTTTGGATAGCCGCTTAAAGCCACTTTCTCATCATAAAATGAGGATTGTACCCATGTTGGCCGTGATTGTGTGTGGAGGCAGAAATAAGATCTAAATGAGTTAATGCATAAGAAAGTGCTTTGTAAACTATAAATAGCAAAAGTTAAAATTATTTTTAGTATTGTTGCCTTCCTCATCTTTGAGGCAGCATTTCTCTTCCTTTCATTAATTACCTGGTTGATAAATAACTGATGAATCCTCTTGTCATTTATTCTTTCAACAAATGATTATTGAGAACCTATTAAGTAAGAGTCTGTATGCTAAGCACTGATGATCTAAGATAAACAGATCCTCTTTTCTCTTTGCTGTTTGCAACCTGGCCCCGACAATGAAAGTATCTCAACTTGTTTTCTAAAAGCTGAGGCCCTTATGAATAAGAATAGGTTGGTCCATCCTTTTAGATTATAAGTTTAGCTCCAGTATAATCACCTCAGTCATTAATTACTTTTAAGTACCGCGTTTGGAGTTAGTCAGTTGAGAATGTCATTTTAGGTTTGCTGGCCTATTTGGACTGTTTATATTCTTGACCTCCGAGTGATTCAGCTGGATTATCACTTATTTGCCTTTAGAACAAATTGTCCTGTCTTTGGAGTAACCTTGTTTTCTTAGACATAAATTATCTCTCAGCAGAGGTGACATCTGTGGACACCCACTTTTCTCCTGTGATGGCCAATGTCACTTTTTAACCCGACTCCAAAAGATTGGACCTTGTTTGTATATCCAGTCTTTTCTCCAGTTTCCCTTCCTTGATAGCACTTAGACCTTCAGCTCTGGGCTCTGTGCCTTGAAGAGCCTTCTAAAAAATTCTAGAAAGGGCAAGAGTGCCACCTACTGTTATTTGTTTAGCTACCACAGGCTGGTAAAATTTTTATTTTATGTTATTCAGACAGATGATTTATTTAAAGTAAAAAAAAAAAAAAAGCCATGTTAAGAGTTTGTGGTAGTTGAGGCACACACCAAATAACTATAAACTACCTATGTAAGCTATAAACTATATGTAAATGTAACAAATATATGAACATATAAAGAAATAAATATAAACTATAAACTATATATATGTATATATACACAATAAAACACACACACACACACAATGATTATATCAGGGAGGAATGTATCTTTGTAGAATTATGCCCCTTATATTCATTGACTTAGAAGAATAATTGTGGGCGGCGCTTGGGTGGCTCAGTCTGTTGCCAGCGGACTGAGGCTCAGGTCATGATCTCACAGTTCGTGAGTATGAGCCCCGCATTGGGCTCTCTACTGTCCATGCAGGGCCTGCTTTGGATCCTCTGTTCATGTCTCCTCTCTGAACCTCCCCTGCTCTCTCTCTCTCTCTCTCAAAAATAAAAAAACATTAAAAAAAAAGAAAAAGAATTGTGAAAGCAGTCTTCACTCTGTTAAAAAAATGGTTGTGTTATAACATTACAGAACTGAAAAGGTGAAAAAAAAAAACCCTTATTATGTAACATATTTTTTAAGATGTCTGCCCCTTTCTAGGCCCCTTATATATGTATTTATGATTTTTATGTAATTTACCACCGCTGCTTCCCTCGTAATGTTTTATCCTGATGTGGAAAAAAGAGAAAATCGTTTTCACATGCCACTGGTTAAGCTAATGGCTAAGTAATTCATTTGTGCTAAGGTTATAAAATAACGCAAGTAAAGTTAGAAACAGCTGGGTATTAAAAAAAAGAATAAAAAGACAATTTTGTTTTAACAGGTATATAATTTGTCTCAGAATATTCAAGAAGATGATCTTCAACACTTGCAAGTATGTATTTCTCAAAGAATGTGTGCCAAAGTATTGAAAATATAATTCTTATTTAATTGTGACTTTCCTTCTAGAAGCCTATTATAGTGTAAGAAGATTGAATATTATATGATTTTAAATTGATCTATAAATTCTTAACTAGAAGGAATTTTAATGTATATCCAGTCTGTTAGAAAATTAAGTGCTTGACTTTCAAATGATTTTTTAAAGGCTCTGATGTCTGATACAGAACGGCTTTACAGGTGTCTTTGTTCAATCTCTTTGGGGGCGTTATTTTAAATAATTTGCTTTAATAGTTATTTACAGAGTACGGCAGACTTGCAATGGAAGAAATCTACCAGAAACCTTTTCAGGTAAATAAGTATTTTATAATTTTTAAAAACTTAGCTATAAGTAGTTATCAAGCCACCTGTCTTTTAAGTCCGAAGGTAAGAGGATATTACAAGAAATTCGTTTTTAGCAGCAGAGTCAGTGGAGTTGAAACTAACATCATTACCACCTTATCAGCAGTAGGCTGACAGAATAGGAAATAGAACAAATGAATATAGTTTGATTCTTCATACTTAGATTAAGTGGTTAGTTTTCTCTTAGAGGTTATTTAATTCCTAAACTTTAGACAGTCATGTAAATTTTTACAGAATAATATTACTGGGGTAATATTATTACAGAATAATATTAAACTATTACAGAATAATATTACTGGTGTGTGTGTGTGTGTGTGTGTGTGTGTGTGTGTGTGTGTGTTATATTACAAGTTGAGGCTTGTCCTGTTTTTCTTTATTTTGGTTCCATATAGAAAAGTTTCAGAATTTATTAGACCTGTCCCCTCCCTCCACCTCTTCAATCTCCATATGTTTTTTAGTCCTTTAAGATGTCGGAGACAGAGTATTAAGTTAGAAATTAACCTGGGTGGAGTTCTATGAGAAGCATGTGTTCTACTTGCTTCTGTGGAATCCTGTTATGACAGAGACTAAAAAAAAGAAAGCTAATTTTAGATAGTTTCTTTTTTGAAATAAGTGTAATCTATAAGTTGACATTAGTACTATTTAGTCAGTTGTGTTATAGGAGGTGAGAATGACTCCACCCTGTTTGCTCATCTGTCTGTAAAGTCCTTGCTGTGTGACAACCTTGCTGGTGATTCTCAGTGTTGGTGGGTTTACACTGATTGCCTCAGTCTTGTCTGGCTCAAGTGATCATGTTTATGAAATATCTGGGCAGCTTATGACTTTTTTGTGTATATGGATGAAATATCCTCCATTTGGCCTATATCAGTTTTTCTGACTTGGGATAATTTTGTTATCCAGGGGACATTTGCCAGTGTCTGGAGATACTTCTGGTGTCACAGTTTTCGGAGGGAGATTAATGCCACTGACATAGTGCACAGAGGCCAGAGATGCTGTTCAGCATCCAGCCACACACAGCTAAGAACTGTCTGGTCCCAAATATCCATAAGTCTGAGACTGAGAACCCCGAACACATATGAATAAAAAATGCAGTGAAACGAATCAGTTGGTCTAAAATTAGATAGCTGGTCTTTTACTTCTACGACCTTAACTTAAAATTATGATCTGTATGCCCTGATCGGCCTTTTGTTCATTTTTTAATGACCCTGTACTATTGTTTGTGGTGACTCTTTCCTTTTATACCATGAAGTTCTCAAATGGAGGCAGTTGCTTGGTATAGGGGCTGGGGTGTTGTTGGCATAGATAGGTAAGCCCTGGCTATCACTAGGAGCACTATTAACCGTTTGGTTACTATAACTTTTGATAAGAATTAGGGGAGTAATGGTTAAACTGTTAAAGTAGTGATTTTTTGGTAAAAGCTTGTTAAGAGATGATTTCCACTTTTTTCTTTCTATAGACACTAATGTTTTTGATTCGAGATTGGAGTTATCCTTATGAACATTCATATGGCTTGGAAGGTGGAAAACAATTCCTTGAAAAGAGATTGCAGGTAAGCCCCCATTTCCTAGTGAGGAGAGCACGAGCGCCAAACCAGATGAAGCGGGGGCGCTGTCTGGACTGCTGTGTAGACTTCCAGTCTCTCCATGTCATTGGCAGAAATTGTGTGTCCCAAGTTAGCCCAGGTGGCTCCATACAGAATGGATGAAAAGTAAATTGGTTATATTCCTGCCAGCAAGGCTAATGCCCTTGAATAGAAATTAAGGAACAACTGTACATCAATATTCAAAGTATAAAAATTTGAGGGACACTAACTTTTGGACTTAACTTAGATTGCCTGCGTGTCTCTTTCTGGCCCAGCCGAGCTTCTGAACATTGGGACCACCTGGATAATACAGTGTGCATACATTGAGCACAGATAATAGTGAGACCCTCTCCCCAGAGAATACTGTCTCCTAGAGAGACTGCACATAGGACTGGAAGAGGGACCTTAAACATCCTCTAATTTACTCTTTCTAAATTTTTCTAAATTAATTGTTTTTAGCTTGAGAGAGAGTTCACAAGCTGGGGAGGTGGGGGGAGAGAGAGAAAATATGAGAATGAATCTTAAACATGCTCCATACTCAGCATGGACACGAGGCTTGGTCCCACCTCCCTGGGATCATGACCTGAGCTGAAATCGAGTCAGATGCTCAGCCGACTGAGCCACCCAGGTGCCCCCACCCTTCTTTTATTAAGTATGTAATATAACTGGAATCCCAAACAGTGACTTGCCTTTGGTCACTTGACTGATTATTGACAACTGGGACTAGGACCCAAATATCCAGACTCCTGGCCCATGCAGTATGCTACTCCAAGGCCGTTCCTAGAAAATAACCTCACTGACATGATCCTTTCTTCCTAAAGGTACCCTGCCCGGTACCTTGGGGAAGTACTTGGGGAAACCTTCGGGTCAGATACTGCCCATCTACTCATACACAAAGAGTACATGAAAATCCCATAATTCATAAGTAGAAGGGTCATCTTTTTTGGTTAATAAAATTTTATTTGCCTATAGGATGATGCATTTAGTTTCTCAACTACATTAGAAACTTGGGGTATAATATAATTTTCTTATTACTAATGTGAGATTAAACCAATTCTTCATTTTTGGATTTTTTGAAAGGCATTTCTAGACCCTGTTGTCAGAGAGAATTTCAGCCGTCAGAGTTTTCTGTGGTTTGTTCAGAAGAAATTAACACAAAGCACATCAGGCATGTTAACATCTCAGAATTCTGTACTTCAAAGACAAGGTTTTTTGGTTTTGTTTTTTTATCTTACTGAAGTGGTACAGGAAACTGCTCAGATGATGGTGAATTTATACAAACTGTACATAGGCATGTAACAGCACCCATATTCATCCACTAACCCCAAAACCCTCTGGTACTGCCCTGCCCTCTGACAGGCTTTGCGTGTGCTTTCAATGAAGGGAATCACATACAGCATGTATTCTCTTGTGTCCAGCTTCTTTTGCTTAATATTATGTTTCTGAGTTATTGTTGTGTGTAGTTTAGTTCATTTATTCTCCTTGCTATGCGGTATTCGATTGTATGAATAGACAACAGTGTCTTCATTCTACTATTGATGGAGATTTAGGTAGTTTCCAGGTTTTGTCAGTTATAAATGGTGTGTGTGTGTGTGTGTGTGTGTGTGTTTTAAACAGTGTTTGAGAAGAGTCTGAGAGAGTATGCGAGTTATATTGAAATAAGTAGTTATTAAAAAAAAAATCAAAGTTTAGGGGAATGAGTGGCTCAACTCTTGATTTCTGCTCCGGTCACGATCTTACAGTTCCTGTGGTCCAGCCCTGTGTTTGGCCCTGTGCTGACAGTGCACAGCGTGCTGGGGATTCTCTCTCACTTTCTCTCTGCCCCTCCCTCATTTGCATGTACTTGCTCTCTCAAAATAAACATTAAAAGTAAGTAAATAAAAATCTAAGTTTAGGATTTTCTTCTAGAAAGTACATAGCAGTCTCTCTTCCCAAAACACTGATAACTAGCATCAATCATAAATGATCATTTGGAGTAAGTACTGAAATCCCAGTAAGTTTCAAAGCTTCCTTGGACTGCACTGGAGCCTTTTCACTTGAGCTGTTATTTTGCTCAGGCGCTATTTTTTTTTTTTTTTTTTTTTTTTTTTTTTTAGCAAATTAGTACTTTGTTTTCCTCTTTGCTATTATAAGTACTTTAAAGGCAAATCCTTAATTTATTTGCTGGTTTGTAAACAAACCACAACCACTACTTGTTAGTCTGGTGTTGGGTATTCTGATTAATTACTATTTGTATATTTGTATTTTTTCAAATTTAACATGGGGAAAAAAACATCTTTTCTAGTTTTAAGACAAAAGTGGGTGGGGTCTTACCAAGGTGGTCAGAATTGTGTCTTCAGTAAAATTTTATATTGTCAAAAAACAGCCATCTGGGGTAGCATCTGAGTTAAGTGTGCACACTTGTGAGTGTGTGTGTGTTTTCTTGAGAACTTTTTTTTCCTTGTTTGTGCCTTTACCCTGTCTCCTTCTGCCCTCAGGTAAAACAAAATCAACATGAAGAGCTACAGAATGTAAGGAAGCACATTCACAATTGTTTCTCAAATCTTGGTTGCTTCCTTTTGCCACATCCTGGTCTTAAAGTTGCAACTAATCCTAGTTTTGATGGGAGATTGAAAGGTGGGAATTCCCATTCTTGCTAAAATCAGAATTTATTTTTTAGAGGCTGAGAGTTTTAAAAAAATACATGGTTCCTTAAATTTCCTGTCTTCTACTGGAAGACATTCTGATGCATTGCTAATGAGGTGATTTTAGTGCTCTGTGTGGTCTGTCTAGCTTTCCACTGGTTTGTGGCAGACACCTAGTGTACGGATTAGCGTATTTTAGAACATGGTCTCTTGTTCCTTGCCGGTGACCTAAAAATTCCGAAGGCTGAGAACATTTCAGTATTTCATCTGTTTGTAGTCTGTAGAGTGTTTTATCAATATATTCTGTTCATGTAATCAGATTTAATCTCCATTTTAGGGATGATATAATTTTTTGAGTATGTTTTAGGATTTGCACATGATGGCAAAAGGCTGGAGAAGTAATATTTTACAGAATGGCTGGAAAACAAAATCTAGTATTAAAATTTAGTACGATTTCATGAATTTTGCCTTTTGAAAAGGATAGTTTAGTTAATACCTAATACGTAATTTATTTTGGTAGTCCACAATTTATTATGGGGGGGGGTGAATGATTGGCGGGTGAGGGAAATGGAGCTGGAGAGTATGTTTTTTTTTTTTTCCCCCCCGAGGAGATAGGATGTGTTTGGGTGAGTTTTTTTAAATGAATATACTCAAGGAATAGATAGTGTATACAGTCATTTCATGCAACAGTGTTATTAACTCTTACCAGTGGGGACTTTACTCTTTCTTTTTTTGACTAATATGTTGGCTTGTATTTCGTGTCCACTAGATATTGATGAAGATTTTAAGCGAGAGCTTCGAAATCTGGTTCCCTTGCTGCTTGCCCCTGAGAATTTGGTAGAAAAAGAGATAAGTGGATCTAAAGTCACTTGTAGAGATCTTGTAGAATACTTTAAGGTAGGAAAACTCCTACATTAAATGACTTTGTCTCAGTTAGAAATATAGCTGACTTAAAACTCCTATGTATGTGCAAGAAATTTCCTATCTTTATTTTGAAGCAAAAAAGTGAAATTTATAATTTCTATGCTTTGAATGGGCTGTATCAATTTTTAAGGATATTTAAAATTTCAGCAGACAGCTTGTATGTTCTAGACAGTGATTTTGTTTGTGGAATTACCCTCCCTTTTCTCCAGCTCTGCTGGGGAGAGAAGAACCATTCACCATATAATTGTAATACCACTGTTTTATTTGTGAACAATTGCCAATATTGAGAGTGTCATTCTGCATCTTGAGTTCCCATAAAAGCCTTCTCTCTGAGTTCTTGAGGACTTAATAAGAGCAGCTGACAGTTTCAAAACTTGTTTCTGAGTCCCAATTATTCATAGATTTTTTTTTTTCCCCTCTCTGCTCTTCTTTCGTCTTCCTAGCTTGCATACCAGAGCAGGACCACCATCAGGGTTCTGTTTATTCACAGGAGTTACAGGTGGATGGAAGGGGAATTATAGTTAACTAGGAGTGTACTTTTGGTCGTTTATTGGACAGTTGGTCACTTTCATAGTGTTTTTGTTTAGTTTTGAAGTAATTTAGAGTCAGTAAAAAGTTGAGATGAACAGTTTCTATATGGACTTATTAAGAACTCATCTTCCCTTCTTACTCTTAGAGCACAAATTGGTAATTTTTTTTTCTTGAACTGAAATGTCATTTAACTTGGTTGAAGTGAAATATTGAGTAAAAATGTCTAACATTTAAAATAGTTAACAGTAGGGGAGAATTATGGATTTCTTTTCATAAAGTAGAGATGGCATTGTATATATAACTTTGAAATATGATAACTTTTATGCAAGTTGGAATTCTATTAGAAATATTTCTGTACGATATTATTTAGCAGTGTATGGTTTTAATAATGTTGAGAATAAAGTTAACTTTGTTTATGATTTTTTAAGCCTAGACTTTCATTTTAAAAGTATGAATTATTTCGATATTCAATGGATTTTTTTTCCTTCAGAAATGTAGAGTCAAATTGTTTAACCTACCTATGTAACGATCTTTTGTATTTTTAGGCTTACATTAAAATTTATCAAGGAGAGGAACTTCCACATCCAAAGTCCATGCTTCAGGTAGTGTGTGTGTTTTGTATGTATATTTATTTATGAAGGAGGAAAGTCTTTCGTTTAGAGATAAATGCTGGAAGTGGGATCATGATTTTTTGCACACAAATAAATTTCAGATATTTTAAGTCAATACAAGTCATGGGGCCTGAAGTTTTTATATGATTGCAGACCTTACACACTTAGGCCATCAGAAATAGTGTTGTTAGAGAAGTGTAGAAAAATTTCTTTTGCAGGAGATAGCTTAATATGGGCCTGTCTAAACCAACTTCTGTTTTCTGAGTCTTTGACATTGAATGTTTGAAATAAGACTTATTTCATCTTGGTATTAATGATTTAGAGCTTCTGATACATACAAGTTATTTTTTTTTCCTTCCTTTTCTCTGTTTTTTAAAAGCTGTTCTTTGGGGACAATGCTATTTTAACCTAGTTTATTTTTTACAAAAAAGATAAAACAGCTTTAATAAATCAAGAATAATTAGTATTACATTCATGTCAGTCTCTTCTTACTAAATTTTATATCATTATGTTCATACTGTTCATATTTCACCCAAATTTAGGTTTTATTTCTTTCAGATACATATCTAGTTCCTGTTTTTTAAGATTTTCTATTTTGGGCAATTTCTCAGTTTTATAGTAGATTAAATAGTATTTTCTTCTAAAACTCCTGTAGTAAGCAGTTTTGTGGATTTAAAAATCTCTTGTGTTATACCAATATGACAGAGCAAGCATATGAGTAATTCTTAATTCTGTACATCTGGAGATTTGACACATTTTAGGGTGTGTCTAATTCTCTATAATTTCCTGAGCATGTGTGGTGTTTTTTTTTTTTTTTTTTTTGCAAACTCATTTTAACAAACCTAAGCAAAACAAAATCAGGCCATCCCATTAGAAGCCGCTATTATACCCCTTCCATCGGAAAGGAAAACTGGAAGTTGATAATGTTTTCCCTGGTTCATTTTCAGATTTATTCACTGTATAGAATTTATTGTGTTAATGAGAATGTATGGAGCCACTGGGTATTTTTTATGTAAAATTGGCACATTTTGTTTTATTTTTCTAGGCAACAGCTGAAGCTAATAATCTTGCTGCAGTAGCAGGAGCACGAGAGATCTATTGCAAAAGTATGGAGCAGGTTTGTAACCAGCATTTAAATTTGACACTAAAGTGAGATAAGGATTTTTACAGCTAAATAATTGAAATAACTTGCACTCCTTATGTACTATCACGATACATCATTCACTGATTTCCCTTTATCATCTCTTCTGGAAATAAACTAAGAAAATATTTCACATGGTTAGAGTGCCAGATATAGGCAGCAAGTTATTACATAAATTGGACTAAAAATAGTTTTGACACATGATTCAGAGCGCTGCTATTAGCAGCTTCTGATGCAGTATTAGTTTAAGGCCAGTGGCACCTTCTGTGCTAAACTTCCTAACTCGAATGTTAAAGTACCTGTTTGGTTTTCTTTAATGCTTTATTTATTCTTGAGAGAGAGAGTGTGAGCGGAGGAGGGGCAAAGAGAGGGGGGGACACCATATGAAGCAGGCTCCGGGCTCTGAGCTATCAGCTCAGAGCCCAATGCGGGGCTTGAACTCACAGACCATGAGATCATGGCCTGAGCTGAAGTCAGCCGCCCAACTGACTGAGCCACTCAGGGGCCCTTAAAGTACCTTTTTTATGTGGTCTCTTTTACCCACTGTCTACCCGTAGTCTTTTTGTATTCTTATGGTGTGTTGGTGGGTCAGGTGAAGTCAGGTACAGACTTTTTTTGTCTTTACTGGATTTAGTTATACTTGGAAAATTTGTTTTACCCGACTCCATTAAACATAAGAAATAGATTATGATAATGTGCGAGGTATCATGAACAAGTTTAAAACTGAACCACGTAGGTGGCTTGACTTTTTGAGACTAAAAACTGTGAACAGGCAATGTTTTATAAGTGTGAATTGTTTCTAGCCAGTAATCTGTCCTGTAATCCTCTGTACAGGTATGTGGGGGGGACAAGCCTTACATCGCACCTTCAGATCTGGAACGAAAACACCTGGATCTCAAGGAAGTGGCGATTAAACAGTTTCGTTCAGTAAAAAAAATGGGTGGAGATGAATTCTGTCATCGTTATCAGGACCAGCTTGAAGCTGAAATTGAAGAAACCTATGCAAATTTGATAAAGCACAATGATGGCAAAAACATCTTCTATGCTGCTCGCACCCCTGCCACACTGTTTGCAGTCATGTTTGCTATGTACATAATCTCAGGACTGACTGGCTTCATTGGCCTAAACTCTATAGCCGTCTTGTGTAACCTTGTCATGGGGTTAGCACTGACGTCTCTTTGTACTTGGGCATATGTAAAATACTCTGGGGAGTTCAGAGAAATTGGAACAATGATTGATCAGATTGCTGAAACACTATGGGAACAGGTTGGTATCTATCTTTTGGTTTTTCAGTGACTAATCTCATCCCCATGACATTTCCCTCCCCTTCTGCAGTATTCACCCCCTCCTTTTCCCTTCTATGAGGAATGTCAAAAGGATGTTTTTCTCTCTTATTTGGTTATGGTTGTGTAATCTGAAAAGAAAGTATGAACTGAATAATTTTTTTCTTAAGGTCATAATTTTAGTGTGCTCTGATTGGTTTATGTCTGTAATATCCTTTGAATAGATTCTTAGCCATAGACCCGATTATACCAGACAATGGGCAGGGCCAGAGTCTCTAAGGCTTCTTTCCTAGAGGAAAGACAATATAATCAGCTCTTGTAAGGAAGAGATTTGGAAGTGCATTGCTTTAAGAAAGTGAAAGAAGTATTTTACTAACACTGGCAAGAAGCAGTGCTTGCTTATATTTGGGGGAAAAGATTGCTGTTCAGGTCTTTGTTGTCTTCCATGAAGATAGTGGTGATTTACTGATGGAACAACCCTATAGGGATTTCTTTTACCTACCAGAGGAATTTTGTTTGATCTCCGTACCATGGAAACACTAATGAACAAAACAGCGCCACAGAGAACCAGCTTCTCTTAATCATAACCTTTTACTTCAACCAGAATTCAAATCATAATCTTTTACCTCAAACCAGAATTCAAAGTTGGGCCTGACAAGAATCTACTAAGGAAAGCCATGTTGAATATCCAACTGTGTGCTGGAATTGCCCGTGTTCAGAAAATTCCATTCAAGGATGTTGTCATTAAAATGATCGTCGTGAAATACTTGAGCATCATGTCAAGGATCAGAATGAAAGCTGCAGCTAGTATTGATGGACAGTATAATAGGCATTCTCAGATACCGTTTCTGGGCATATGGAGTATTGGGCTTATTTGGAGATCTAGGACACGCAGGTCCATGTTGGTTTTGCCTTTAAATATAAAGACTGAAGAAGTGAATCATTTTTTGATGAAGGTTGATTGGGCGTTGACTTTTCTTGTAATAATGTCATTATTTTACAAAGTGACACACCCTATTAATTTGGATTTTGTATTCTGTAGAGAAATTTGGGTCTGATTTGGAAGTTTGTGTTTGGATAGTTGTTAAACTTAACCTTTTATTTAAAAAAAAAAATCTCACTCTTGATATTCCTTTGATATCGCCTAATAGAGGGTGAGTTAAAAGTTATTGCAGCCTCGCTTTTTAAAAAAGTTACCTACTTTAAAATTTTGGACCATTACTAATTTTCTGCAGCATGAATTTTAATCATTGTTTGATGTCTTCATTTGGAAAGCCAGTCATCCTATATCATCGTCCAGTAGCGTTGATTCTAGGACTGTAGAGGTGCCATTCTTACCAAACAGTTAAGTGGAAGAATCTAAAATGTGTAAAATGGTCAGTGTAGTTGAGGTAAGTTGATCACTAGTCAGAGAAGATTTGTGCTGTGTCAACAAACCTTGCCTAAATCTTCTTGCATTTCTCTTTTCTTTTGCTTCAGAGGAGTCCCAGGAAGGTGAGAAACCCACAAAGTCTCAGATTCTTACAGTCTTAAACTCTTTTAACTTCAAGGCACTCTGAGTCATTGTCCTAACGAATCACTCCGTGTTTTAGGTGTTTTCCAAACTGTTTGAAGTTACTAGACGTCGAATGGTCCATCGTGCTCTTTCATCAGCACAGCGACAGAGACTGTCATCCAACAATAACAAGAAGAAAAATTAGACAGTATTTTTAACTTTTTTCTCTATCTGAAGTGTTCACCCTTAAACATGTAGGACAATAAGCAGGACCGTCTGGGCCGGTCTGCATAAATGCTGTATACTTACCAGATTTGATGCTGCATAGAGGGTATGGAATTGCACATCCATCTCATAGGAATTGTAAATGGTTTGAGTAGGAGGAACGTGATTTTCGTTGCATTATAAAATGTCTAACTGCATTATTTGTAGCATCATGCGTTTTTTGGGAGAATCCTCTTTTTTTTTAATTTCCCACATTCCTGGTTATTTTCTTCATTGCTTTGAATTGAATTTTTATATCTATTTTTATATGTAACTCTTTTTTTACCTCATGTTTTTATTTGTTTTGCACATTTCTCATGCCACAGGTATTGAAGCCCCTGGGTGATAATTTGATGGAGGAAAACATAAGGCAGTCTGTAACAAACTCTATCAAAGCAGGCCTGACTGACCAGGTGTCTCATCATGCCAGATTAAAGACAGACTGACAGTTCATCTCCTCACGGACTCCACTCTCCCTTTTATTCACGCTTGCTGTACAATGAGAACTCAAATAAAAATAAACCAAAGTTTACAATCAACTGTAGAAGTAGTTTAGTATAACTGGCTTCACAGATGGCTGCCACAGAGTGTGAAAATTGTTTGTTGGTTTTAAGCATTCTGTTCTCGGCTCCTAAGACACGGAGATTGGCCGAGGAGCGTTCGTTGATCATGCACATTTGTGCCATGTTTCTTTCTTTCTTTTTCTTTTTCTTTTTTCTCCTTTTTACTTAATCTAATGTTAATGAAATTTGTCTTATGTAAAAGGATATTTCAGGGAAATATTTTAAGAAATCTATTTAGAGTCTCTTTAACACCAGTGTCCCATTGAAATTTTAATTTCTAGTGAAGCTATGAATCACTGTATCAAGAATCAGATTGGAATGACAATGAAGCCTTTATTGAGCCACTACATTAAGAGTATATATTGCTTTACTGCCTTCAATACCAGTATTACATAAATGCATGTATCAGAAGTTTCACAGAAATTACATGACAACTCTTGTAGCTAAGAAAGTGATTCTGAGGTGTACATTTGTCTTGCCTTTTTAAATTTGTAAACCTGCCCTAAAAGGAGATGCATATCTGGGAAACTGAACTGTCTTTATGCAGTTTAGCCTTCATGTACATAAAATACGCCATTAATTTTATTGGGGGAGAAATTCCATCCAAAAATGTTGCCTACAGCTATGAGTTAAGAGTGTCTGTACAGTGTGTAGCTTTTATTTTCTAAAATCACAGATAGGGCATGTATATGAATTATAAATATATAAATACGATTTTGTATTAAAAGTTTTGTAGTTTATGGCAAAATCTGGTTCTGTGGTAGGCTAAGTACAGTCCCTGTGAAGGAATGTTTGTGGCTCATGTCAGTGTGTGAATGCATAGACAATTTGAAGTTTTTGATATATTTGTGATATTTATCTTCCTTGAGCACTGCAATCTCCCCTCACCCCCCCCCAAGGGAATTCAATGGGAATGTTTATTGTGACTTTGTCCTCTGTTGCATTTTAAAGTTATTTCCTGTAATTTATTTTCAGTACATAATTAAAAATTTGTTGTATATATAAAATGAAACTTGTGATTCTTTTTTAAGGAATCCTTCAAGTATGTATTCCATTACACAAACCATATTTGTTTATGCTGAAAAGAGCATGAGCAGGAAACACCCAAGCGAGAGCTCTAAGGTATTGTACCCAAAGCTAAGCTTGTAAAACTTACTTTTCTTTGTCTCTGGTAGGGAAAACTTACTGTGATTAGCCCAGGGGTAGCTGGGATTCATTTCTTTTCTCCCCATCTCTCTCTCTCTCTCTCTTTCTTTTTTCCCTTGGTTATATGTAAGGCTAACATTTTTGCAATATTTTTGTAGCCTTCTTTAGAAACACCTATTTAAGGACCTAGTTTGGTTTTTAAGTGAAGAAAATTCAGATGTTGCTCTGAAAGCTCTGACTTTACTTTGGTTGCTGTATCTCCCCCCACCCCCACCCCTCCTCTCCAGTCCTGTTTTTATATGGCTTGTGTTTGTTTCCATCTGTATTAAATTGCTACCAACTCATCTGTTCTTCTTAAAACATAAACAATCCACCTGAAGAGTCTTTTTATGTCTTCTGACATCCTGTTTTATGAATGCTGTGGACTGTTTTTATGAATGAAAACAAATAAAAGGTTTGTTGTATAATAGCAATTCTTCTGAAATTAAAGGCACATGATAACTTTAAAAACAAAAACAAAAGAGTTGTGACATCTGCACCATGGATTTGTTAGTATTTCTTGTTGGAGAATGTGTTTTCCACAAAGAAGATATAATTCTGTAAAGGATTCCAAAGAAAAACGCTTCGGTTTCAGCTGGAAGACTCTGAAAATAACTATTAAGTAAGAAGCAATAAAAGGGATTAAAGACCAGTTCAAAGCTGTTGCCTTAAGTAACTTTGGTGTTAGTATGTTTTCTGTGGTACAGTTTTGTAGTAACCCATATAATAAGGTACCTTTTCAAAAAGAAGTACTTAATGACAAGTGATTTGTCTTCCGAGTTAAGACACAAGTAATTTTGTGGAACGGATCCTCATTTACAACTTGCTACAGAGTCTGCCTTCCATATTTCTCCTGAAGATAGCTAGCTGGTCATCTTCCCGTCCCTGAACACACTCTGTGAACTTGAATAGCAGTATTTCACTGGTGAGGGTTATATGTTTAGCAGACTCTGACCTGGACTTGCTTTCATGAATTTATCTGCAGAATTGGGCAGACCAGGAGCTTTATGTTGCTGGAGATGTGAGTGCTGTCGGTGTCAGTCATGTTGTTTCATGAGATTGAAAAAAAAGAAAAAGTTTGTCCTTAACTTGGTTAAAAACCCATTAAAATATATTTACCATAAAGTTTCAGAAAACACTCTGACGGTGCTATTAGTGGTGCACTCTATAAATATCCAAAATGGCCCTTCATAAAGTCTTTTAAAGCCCTTGTGTAGTCTTAACTAGGGAATTGGCTCTTTGGTCAGCTGTTTATCGGCTAGTGGAGGTTGCTTGGGTCTATTCTCCACACTCTTGGGCTTCATCCGTGGTCTGAATTCCCAAACTTAGAGCCGAATCCGTCTGTGCCCCTACGTGTTTTACCATTCCCATCGTAGTTGTGAGGTGATGATAAAAATCAGCCTCAATGGGTTGCCTGGGTGGCTCAGTTGGTTAAGCGTCCAACTTCAGCTCAGGTCATGATCTCGTGGTTGGTGGGTTCGAGCCCTGCGTCAGGCTCTGTGCTGACAGCTAGCTCAGAGCCTGGAGCCTGCTTTGGATTCTGTGTCTCCCTGTCTCTCTGACCCTCCCCTGCTCATGCTGTCTCTATCTCTGTCTCAAAAATAAAACATAAAAAAAAAAAAAAAATCAGCCTCGAAGGCCGTCAGCTGTGCTTCTGGCAGCCTACGTTTACCAGTCTCAGGGTTTGCTTACCAAATGGCTGGCTGTCGTGGATTCATTCAGCCTGGAGCCCCTGCCACAGAACTTTGGAGAATCTTCCAGTAGGCTCCTGGGCAAACAAAGCTAAATTAGAGCTTCACTAAGCAGGAGAGAAAATTGCTACTTTCTCAACCCAAGTCTTAGGTCTTTGGGATTTATCCTCTTTCAGAATTGGGGTTTGCTGGAATTGAGGTTAAGGAATTGATCTACTCTTGACATCCTTCAGTGAAATACAACTCCTGTATTTTTTTTTAGGTTTGTGACTTTCTGGGTTCTTTGGAGCCAGAGCTAGCAGTTGACCAGGCCAAAAGTGCCTAAAAATATGTACAAAAAAAGTTGAGAAAAGGGGATCTCAGCCTTTGTTTAGCCCAGTAAAGCACTTCCACGAATATTAGCACTTTTCATACAACAGTCCTTTGAGGTAGCTAGGAAACCCATGTTATCAAAAAAGTGTCTGGGGGGTACGTCAGGCTTGCAAACCAGGATGCCAGTACACACCACCTGGGTTCAATCTGTGTGAAGTTTCGGACACGGAGAGTAATGTTCCTAACTCCAGATGAAAGCTCTGTCTTGGCAGCATTCTGTAAAGCACCAAAAGGTGGAGGAAACACAATTTTATTGCTACTGAAACAAGGTGAAAATCACCTGTAATATTACTCTTAAGATCTTTTGAAGCAAGAAGTGAAATTTTCCTATTCTGTTGATGGTGCACCTCAAAGGTAACTGTTACCGGGCGTGCTATTGAAATAATTCCCATGCTTACTGACACATCCATAGAGGCACACAATACACTCTTGATCTTTATTTTACACAAAAATAGAATTACCCCGTATGTGATTTTTTTCCCCCTTATAATAGACATTTTTCTAGGCCACTAAGTCATTCTTCAGTGCTCACATGCATGCTTTGGTTCTTCTGAGGGCCGAGGGGGTTTTGAGGGGAACACATCAGGCGTCAGATTGCTGCTAATAGCTTTCTTATTTTTTACACGTTTTCCCCACCACAGGATTGGTGAGAGAACCCGATAAGAAAATGGGAAGGGTGTTTGGGGAGCACATACAGGAATAGAAAATGTGCACTCCCGAGCTTTTGTTGTTGTTCTAAGGCTCCATGTGCTGTCTTTATTTGGCCAGTAGTCAGATAAACTGCTTCTTGAAGCTTGGCCATCACTAACTTTTTTGGGGAGGAGGGCATCGTTTGGGCATTAGATTATCTACTTCCCAGTCACAAAACATGAAGATTACCAAAAAGACTTGTGAAGAATACCTAAAAGCTGGGAAGAATACTTGAATTTCGATTACAGGAAGAAGAAATGGACCTTGGAGTTAAAACGACCCCAGCACCACTACTTCCCACTTTGTGAACTTGGGGAAGCGCTGCGGAACAGCCTCGTCTCTGCTGGTCTCTAAAATGGAGAGAATGCCCATCTCAGGGTGGCTCTGGGCATGGATGGGAACCCTTCCATGTTTTGAACCCTTCTTACGGGGATGATGTTTGTGAAAAATGCATCTATCTTCTAAATCATACCTACTTTTATTTTCATACCTTCCACTTCCTGAAGAGGAAGAAAAACAGGATAAATCTTGGGACGTGATGGCCACTGCTATTTGGTCTATTAAGAAATGCAATGTCAGTAAGTCTCTCAACTAATTAAGCTCCTTGAAAAGGAGAAATCTGTGCTTTATGCATTCTTTAATCGTTCACGTTATCCAGTATTCTTGTGCATGGCAAATGCGCAGAATATTTTAACATGGGCCACTTCACCCCCTCCATCCACCTCCCGTACTTGTACCATCTACTGGAAATGAGCCAGGTTGTCACTTGGCAGCTGTGGACTCTTAAAGTGTTTTCTCCCCTTGGCCTCAAAATGCGAAGGAACATGATTATTAACTTAAAAAGTATGATAAAATAATTTGGGGGTAGGGTGAGTGTAGTCTACCTTTAATAGATCTGGATTATGTTTAGAACTTTATACTGATTTGATCTGATGCAGCTTAAGTATCTGCTCTTTCAAGTTGTTCCAAAATTTGGTTCAGAAGCTTGTGCAGTAAGGAGTTGAGTTGTTCTTACTTTATCGTGTGTCTCTAAGAATTTGATGTTGCTTAGAACACTTACAATTCCTGGGAGGGGACTGAAGCCCTTATAAGAGGCAAAACAACAACAACAACAAAACCCAAAACCAAAAAAAACAACCAACCGAACAAAAAATCCAAAAAACCCCAAACTAACACATTTAACATCTAAATACTGCCGGTGCTGGGGTAATAACTTTGGAGTGGGTACTTTTTACCTTCACGGCAGGGCTGGGGCAGAGAGAGAGGGAAAGAAAGAATTCCCAAGGAGGCCCCACACCCAGTTTGGAGCCTGAAATAGGGGACCATCGCAGGGCCGTGAGATCCTGATGGGTCAAAATCAAGAGTCGGATGCTCAAGTGACAGTCACTCTGGCACCCCATCCTTCGTTTTGATAGGGGAGTCCTCTCGAATCTCAAAGAGGCTGCCTATGTTTACCAAGGGGTGCGCCCTGGGATGGGAAGCCAGGTCTCCTGGCTTCAGAGTCCAGAGAGCCAAGTTAAGTGCCCACCTTAACACCGCCGCGAAGCACACATCCTCCTCCACAGGCAGAGGAAGGAAGTGGGAAAGAGATCAACAGGAGGAATGCAGCCGGGGTCAGTTCAGGCTCCAGTGCAGGCGAGGCCGGTGTAGGCAATGGTAGATGGGGCCCTGGGAGAGATGTGTAGGCACAGACCCGTCAGATTACCGAGCGCCCACGTGGGCGGACCTGGCGGTTAGATGTTGAGGATGCCCAATCCAATCTTCGGGACACGGAAGACATCAGTGAGGCAGCAGTTTTAATAGTCTTAGGGTAGTTTCTCAAAGTATTTTATTTATTTTCTTAATCAGAATTACCTGGAGTGCTTGTTTCAAATACTCCTGTCCCCCCACCCCACAGTGGGTAATGAATTCAAATCTGTATTTCTAAATTTTTTTTTAAATGTTTTATTTATGTCTAGGAGAGAGAGAGAGACAGCGTGAGCAGGGGAGGGTCAGAGAGAGAGGGAGTCACAGACTCTGAAACAGGCCCCAGGCTCCGAGCTGGCAGTCAGCACAGAGCCCGACGCGGGGCTCGAACCCACGAACGCGAGATCATGACCTAAGCGAAAGTCGGACGCTTAACGACTAAGCCACCCAGGCGCCCCAAATCTGTATTTCTATTAATAGGCTTCTCAGATCATTCTGAGGTCTACTGAAGTTTAAGATCCAATATTAGAGTAGTGTTTCCTAATGGTTGGTAGGATTATAGATTTCTCCTGCTGTTTGTATATGGACGAGGAAAGCTTTCTGCAGAGACCTGAAATTATGTTCTTGTATTAGGTCGTTTACCAGAGAGGGTGGTGGGGAAGTAGACCAGGGGCGAAAAGCTCACTCTTCTTCCATATGAAGGTGGATCTTGTCTCTCCTAAGCTACAGACCCATTCTTTACCTTAGCCATTCTTTTAAAATTTCCACTCTGCCTCACAGGCTTTGGACTGAATCTCCCTTTTAAGATACTTTCCTTGGTTAACAAGCTAGGTACTGCTATCATTGCAGTCTTCTTATTTCATTAGGGAAATGTTGAAGATTGATGAGACTTTTCATGGTGGTGTTTCTTTTTCCATCCACCTTCGAATGCAAAGAAAAGAACCCCAGGGCTAGATCCTATAATGTCTATAAATCAGCAGACAGATGACACCTATCAAAGTATAATCTTCAAAAAACCAAACACGACTCAAACAGGTACACAATGAATATTAGTCAGATTTGTTTGCCTCCCTAATGAGGAAATCATTAAGGTGGCGAAGCTGGTTCAGAGCATTGGAGGAACTGGAGTTACATAGTCCACTGGGACAGGGTTTTGAAACCAGTATGCTGAGGGATCTGAGCTCCTCAGAGTAAATAGCAAAGATACGCCAGTCTCAGACTTTGTGGCCTTAGGATCCCTTACCGGGCTTAAAGGACCCTAAAGGGTCTGACAATTTTTGCTTTAGGAATTAAGACAAAAGTTTAAATATTTATTAATTTAAAAATAAACCCATGATATGTTAACAGTTTTTAAATAAAAATAGCTTCAGATCTATCTATCATCTATCTATCTATCTATCTATCTATCTATCTATCATCTATCTATATGTATATATGTGTATCTATCTATATATCTTGAGAAAAAAGGCATTCTTCTACATGTTTGCAAATAGAACACTTAACTGGCTTAGAAGACAGCTGGATTCTCCTATCAGCCTCCACATTCATATGTTACAATATGTTGTTTTGGTTGAAGTATATGAAGAAAATCTGGCCTCTCACAGTTATGCGGTTGGAAAAGGAGGACCTTCTAGAATCCCAAAAGTGCGTTCTGGGGACTCCCAGGGGTCCTTGGATTACATTATGAGAACCACTCCAACCTGAAGAAATCCCCTTGGCGGGCATGTTAGAGTGCCCCTGTATGAATGTGCAAGGACGTGCTGTAACGTCCTACGCTTTATTTCCAAGTTGGGGATAGTTTTTCTTAATACTTCAAAGCCCATGTCTTGCTCCCACCACCAGAAACAGGTTGGGCCAGTCAGACCAAATCCTACCTGTAAACAGTAGGAATTGGAACTGATGGCAAAGCCATTTCTTTAAACAGCCTACCCCCCCCCCAACAAAAACCTTTTCCCCCCATCAGTGAAAAATGTGTACACGAGATTTTCAAAATATGAAAAGCACTCACCCTTAATACTTCAAAATTGTCAGAGATAAACACTGATACCGTTTTTTTTTTAGGCCTTCCAGTCTGTTATCCGTGTTAGTGTGTAACAGTCCATCTCATGTCATTTGATACCGTGCTCCACGTAATGCTTTTCTGAAACTGCATTCTCCATTTAATAGATCATGAGTCTTTTTTCATGACAGTAAATCATATTCTAAGTGTTTTTTTTTTAATGGCTCTATTTTATTTTGTTAAGCTTTAGTAGTGTAACATTGCATCTTTTGACATTTTCGTGTTTGGTGTGTTAATAATGCAGCAATGGATGACCGTGTACCTGCATCTTGTGCACGTCTCTGCTAGTAACCAGGAGATTGGTACAAACTCTTGGAAGTAGAAAGTCCCTGCCTTCTAGGAGTCTTGTACCAACTTACGTCTTCTCCCTGTGGGATCTGAGACTGCTGTCCCACCGCCAGCGCCTCCAGGACCAGCCCCATCATGCCTCACTGTGCGTCTCGCCCACTCGACATCAGAAAATGAACTCACTTATCTTCACATTGCTTCACCTGTCACTGAAGCAGTGGTTCTCTGCTCTGTGTATCAGAATCACAGCACCCCTGGAGATTGTGACCCGGTGTCCTAAAAGTTCCCTCCCCGGGGTGGTTTTATTGTGCGGGCACAACTGAGGACACCGCATACTCTCACCCCAACCTTACCCTTCCCTGCCTTCCTGCCCCTTTCTTTGTGTTCCGTATAATCTGGCGCCTGTTATTAGCACATTTGCCTACAACTTGATCTCTCTGTGTGATTTCTCTTCATGTCTCTCCAGAACCGAAACCTGGCTTCCCTT